ATAAAGGCAAATTCAGAAACATAATTCCCAAAGACTGGGTTTATTTTAGCTCCTTTTCTCCCTTTTCTCTTCAGGTCACTAGATAATATGATATATACAGACAATGCTTTACAACTCTGAGAAAACTGAGATACCAAGAGATTTCAGTGGTTTTTCCCAGATCTCTCCAAATCTAAAGTGGCACCAGAAATAAAATATTCAGGCCTTATGAAAAGGAGCTGCAATCTTTCTTTCCTGGATTTTTCTGTCACTCCTATCAATCAAATAGTGATCAATTCTGATGGTGCCAGGACCTGCTGAAACATTTCAAAACAAATTTCCAGAACCAGTCTTAATGACTTTTCAAGCACCATCTATGATAAACCCTCAGCCAATATCATACGCAATGGTGAAAATCAGGAACAAGACAAGGATGCCCACTCTCACCACTCTTATTTAACATAGTTTTGGAAGTCCTAGCCAGAGCAATCAGGCAAGAGAAATAAATAAAAGACATCCAAATTAGGAAGGAAGAAATGAAAGTGTCTTTTGCAGATGACATGATTCTTTATATAGAAAAATTTAAAAATTCCACCAAAAAAAAACTATTAGAAACAATAAATGAATACAGTGAAGTTACAGGATACAAAATCAATGTACAAAAAGCCATTGCTTTCCTATATACTAACAATGAAACTTCAGAAAAAGAAATGAAAAGAAAACACCTTTTGCAATTGCAACCAAAGGAATAACATACCTAGGAATAAACTTAACAAAGGAGGTGAAGGACCTATATAGATACTGAAAACTACAAAGCATTATTAAAAGAGATTGCATAAGACACAATGAAATGGAAAGATATTCCGTGTTCATGTTCATGGAGTGGAAGAATCAACATAGTTAAAATGGCTGTATTACCCAAAGCAATATACAGATTTAATCCAAATCCCAATGTCATTTTTTTAAATAAATAGAGCAAAAAGTCATCAGAGTTGTATGAAATCACAAAATACCCTGAACAGCCAAAGAAAAAAGTTAGAGAGGTATCATACTACCTGACTTGAAATTATACCACAGAGCTAAGATACTCAAAACAGCATGGTACTGGCGGAAGAACAGACACACAGACCAATGGAACAGAATTGAAAGCCCAGAAATAAAACCACAGGTATATGGGCAAATAAATTTTGACAAAGAGGCCAAAAATGCACAATGGAGAAAAGAAAGCACCATTATCCTCAATAAGTGGTGCTGGGAGAATTGGAAAGCCACATGCAAAAGAATGAAACTAGATTATAGCTTGTTCCCTTGTATAAAAATTAAATAAAAATGGATCAAAGGCTTGGAACAATAAAGTACATAGAAGAAAACATAGGTACTAAACTTATGGACCTTGGTCATAGAGAACATTTTATGAATTTAACCCCAAAGTCAAGGGAATTAGAGGCAAAAATAAATAAATGGGACTCTATCAAACTGAAAAGCTTCTGCACAGCAAAAGAAAACTACAACAAAATAAAAAGATAACCAACCGAATGGGAAATGATATTTGCAAACAGCAGCTCCAACAAGGGGTTAATATCCAAAATATATAAAGAACTCATACAACTCAACATCAAACAAGCAAACAATCCAATTAAAAAAAATGGGCAGAGGGCCGGAACAGATACCTTTCCCAAGAAGACATACAAACAGCCAATAGATATATGAAAAACATGTGCAACTCCACTAACTATTAGGGAAATGCAAATCAAAAGTATAATGAGATACCACCTTACACCTGTTGGAATGGCTGTTATCAACAAGACAGGTAATACAGTAACAAGTGTTGGAGAGGTTACAGAGTAAAAGGAATTCTCATTCATTGCTGGCAGGAATGTAAACTGTTACAGCCACAATGGAAAACAGTGTGGCAGTTCCTCAAAAATTAAAAATAGAGTTGCCATATGATCCAGGAATCTCTTCTAGATATCTACCCCCCCCCCCAAAAAAAAACCCACTCAAAAAACATTTATTCGCAAAGATATATGCACCCTATACTCATTGCAGCATTATTCACAGTGACCAAGAAATAGAGACAACCAAAGTGTCCTTCGATAGAGGATTGGATAAAGAAGATATGGTATACAATGGAATGCTACTCAGCCATAAGAAAAGATGAAATACTGCCATTTGTGACAACATGGATGGATCTTGAGAATAAACTGCTAAGCAAAATAAGTCAGTCATAAACAGCTAAGAAACATGATTTCACTCATGTGGGATATAAAACTGATACTCACCAAGTCAGTCATAAACAGCTAAGAACCATATGATTTCACTCATGTGGGATATAAAACTGATACTCATAGGCACAGGCAACAAGATGGTGGTTTACTAGAAGGGAAGGGGAGGGTGTAGTAAAGTGTAAAGGGGGCCAAATATATGGTGACAAAAGATTACTTGACTTTGGTGGTGGACACACAATGCTACACACAGATCATGCATCACAGAAACGTACACCTGAAACCTATATGACCCTATGAACCAATATCACCCCCAATACATTTAATTTTAAAAAGTAATATTTATCTTTAAGTAGAGTGATTTAAAGACTATATATTTTTTAACATTAGGTATTCCCTCCCCCAAACAAAAATATCTTGACTTCTGAGTCCTCCGGACACAAGAGATTAATATTACCGATGAATCACATTTTAGAAGATGGCACAGAATGCGAGGCACAAGCAGGGTAAAGTTTACACACTGATAACCTAGGTGGTCCCCTAAGCAAGGTCACTTTAAGGACATCATGATATCTGCCTGGGCCTAAGCATTTTCCCCTCCAGCCTGATGTTCCTCTGAAAGTCAATATGAGTAAGACCATGTTAAATTTAATTAACATACTAACAACTATTAACACTTCAGTCTCCATTTACCAGTTCTCCAGAAGAAAGTACAATCTGAGAGAGAGATAGAGAACAGGAAAGTTTCCAAGGGTGTACTTGTCAGTGTGCCCCAGGAGGGCACTGGGATCCTGGTGGGTGATGACAGTGGTCAGAAGAACTCAAATGCGAAACGTGAGAAGCAATGAGAAATTGCAACTATTGCACCAGACAGGAGGTCAGGCCATGGGGAGGTGCTCAGGGAGTCACCCTTGGGGTGAGGCCAAGGAGTAAGAAGTGCTAGAACCTGAATTGAGACAAGAAAAGATGACAGGAAAGGAGGAGTGCCTATCAAATAACCGCCTTCACCAGTGGACACCAAGCAAAAGCCCAAAGCCTGACATAAAGAGAGTCATCCCAGAGGGCAGTCCCTTTCATGCTTTCTTTCTGTCTCAGTGCAGCACTAAGTGTTCATGTTAACCTACTTTCCCTGTTGCATGTGTTGTTTCTTTTTGTTATGTGTTAAGTGGGGATAGTGCTTGATGTAGTTTCGCTCTTCTTGGACTCTACTCGACTTTGAGTATAAGGACTAGTTCTGTGACCCAGAACAGCACCTCATGAAACAAAAATGGAAATAGAATTAACTAAGGAAGTTCATATAGTGATCTACTGAAGGCAGCATGCTTCCCAGCTGACTTTTGATTTTGAAGAAATGACCTGCCCATTCTACTTCTAGGCTGTGATAAGTGCATCTGGGATCTGACTGATGACCTTCGCTTAGCTGCGCTCTCCATTGAAGAAAGCAAATCCGGTGTGTTGAGCGTGTCCTCCGGTGCCGCTGCCCATAGACACGTGAATGAAATGAACTCCACCATCTACCTCCTCAAAGTATGCAGAAATGTTTACCTTCTGCGCGTTTTCATTCTGGTTTCACTGAGGCACTCCTAGTAACCCCTATCAGTTTTGGTATCTGAGTCCCATGGCAATATTACAGATGGTTAGCCCTAGGAAATTATGACAAGTTAATTGTAAGCATTATCTTCAGCTCAACCAAGAGCTGCCATCTATAAAAGAGGTTAATACTGAAAATGAAATGACTAAAAAACTGGTATCTATGTACAAAACTATTGAGGGATGCAAAACACTTATTTCCTTGGTGAAGCTGTACATTGGTCATTCAAGTGATTACCACAGACTTACCATTACTTTACCCTCAATGTGCAATGTTTTTGAGAAGTTTCTCTAGAAACGTTTCTCTCTGTGTGTCTCTCTGTTTCTCTATCTCAATTTTTATCTCTATCTCTATCTCCTACCCTGACCTTACCTTCTCACTGTCATATTCCCCCTCATTTTCCCACACTCACACACACACTCACACACACACTCAAACACACAACATACACACACACTCACACACACACTCAAACACACAACATACTCACATGCTCTGTTTCTCCTCATAGATCCTGTGGTTAATCTCTAATAAACGAGTTAAAGGCAGGAAACAGATGAACTGTGCTTGTATATCTAAGCTTTAAGAAGTGGTTTTATTTCCCCCCTCTAAATCATGGGCTTCTATCACAACCAACAGATTTTTTAAAACAATGATAATTAGCTGAAAGGACAATAGAATTAATACCAGCGTAATTTTTTTTAACTTTGTTAGTCAATTTAGTATAGTAGTAAAGAGCATAGACTTTGAATTTAGATTGTTTGCATTCAAATGCTGGTTCTGACACTTACTAGCTAGGTAACCTTGGATATGTTATTTAAACTCTTTATTCTTCAGTTTTCTCATCTGGAATTGAGAAAAATTATTGAACCATCTCATGGATTGTTGAAAGAATTCAGTGAGTTGATATGGGTAGTGTCTTAGAACAGTACCTAGCATAGTAAGTGCTCATTACTTTGTGGAGGTGCAGATGACATGCACAGCAACTGTCCATATTATGCAAAATGCAAAACAAAACAAAAAAATGACAACATTGTTGAGGTGAATGGAATCTTAGTGAGCATTCTCTTCCAAACCTAGAAATCCTTCTTGTCCAAACTCATCTGTTTGGACACATGAAGGAACTAATTCTCAGGGGAGTCACCCAGATTCAGGCCTCTTGATGCCACTTGAATCCTCTTTCCCCAACAACACAACTTCAAGATAGATATAATTATAGCTGACAGAAAGGCAGTGCCAAGTTCGGTGAGCCTACTCCAAAGTAATCTTAGTAAAACCACATTTGGACTAAGCTCCATTTACTTTAATTTGTGTGAGTTGATCATTTCTTCCAAAGCCTTCCAAAATTGACATTTTAAAGGTCAGACACCCAAGGCCACCACCAGTCTATATTGTGCATTTGTACAAATTAGAAAAAGGTACCCTTTCCCCACGGCCAGCACAGCACAGCCCAGGGTCTTCCTGGTGAGCAGAGCTGGAAGAATTTTAGCCCTTAGGGCCCTGAGAACCCCCATGCAGTCCCCAACCTCTATACCAGCCTGCTACAGCCTGCAGACCCACCACCATTTGGGGGACAGAGACTCGGATTCTACTCTAAGTCCTCTAACACGGGAAGAGTTTTGTATTTATTTTTACAAACCTGGTGTGCACATCTACTGATTATTTTCAAAACATTTTTTTTCCACAGACAAAATTGTCAGAAAGAGAAAACCAGTATATCCTAAGAAAGATACAAATCAACAACGCTGAGAGTACAATGAAAAGCCTTCTGTCTGACCTGGACGAATTAGCTGAAAGGGTATGTGTTCAGTTTCTGGAACTACTTTCAGAGAAAGGACTTAGCTGGTGTGAGCCTAGCAAGTCACAAACAACTGAGGCTCAACACAGCTCAGAAAATATGTAGTGACTCAAGGACCTTAAAATAAATCAAGAGTAGACTCGGTCTCTACTGTTTCTTCCCATTTTGACTGGTTTCCTTGAAAAACTGTGTTTTATGAGGAACTATTTTAATATTTGCTGTTGGTTAATATGGTTGATATATTTCAATTAGAATAGTTGTTCAGCTGTTTGCCTTAGCATTTTATGACTAAGAGCTATAGAGCATCCAGAAATAAGCTTTACTATGTAGAATATAAAATTTAAATGTCTGCTAAAGGATGCATTAAATAATAAACAGAAAGAAGAAGAATGATGCTGAGAAAGCAATTTTGCACTTTGGCAGGGAAAAAAATCACTTTCAACCCTCACCTTACACCATATCTATAATAATAAAAGCGTAATATGCTAATTAGACTGGACATCCTTCTGGACGACCTTCCAGACGAAACCAGGGCTGCTGGCATCCGGGGGAAGGAAGGCCTACTCTTGCACTAATTAAGTGCATCAGGCCTCTGGTACTAAAATAAAATCCCAGACAGATTAAAGACTTGAGTTTAAATCTCAAATTCGCAAGAAAACAGAACTAAATATTTATTTGAAATTGAAAGAAAATGACAATACATTTAAATACAGCATGAGGAATTACAATAAAAAGATATAATAGATATGACAAGATAAAATTTCAAATACCCAGTAAAGACAACTAAATAAATGAAAAAGTCAATGAGACTAAGAACAATATTAAGGGAAATATGACATAAAAGCTCTCAGAAATTAACCACAAAAGCATTGAAATTTGAGCAGAGTCAGTGTGAGAGACTATTAAATACACTCCCCACCAGTGCTGTCCAGAGCACTCTGGAATTTCTGCTTTCCTATACTGGTATTTGACATAAACTGTGGAAGTGCTTTTCAAAAAACAATTCTCACTTTCTACAAAAATAAAGGTTAAAATAACTTTGATAATCTCTTTTGACCTTGGAGCTCTTAAAGTGTTAAGAGATTAAGCTTCTAAAAATGTTAATTACTTGGACCCTTGGAAGATTCAACCACTTTGAAATGCACATGAAAATTGTCCTTGTTTCCCATACAATGCCGCATATTAACCCAACCATCAGCATTTGAAAAGCAGTGAGATCTCTTCCGTTTCAAAGGAAGTACCCAGAAAGAAATCTTTGCGAAAAGCTCATAGTGATTTCATTCTTGTATCATGGTTGGAACTTGCCAAAAGTGTCTCAATTCTTGAGGATGTGTTTTCACCAAGATTCGTTCCTCCCACAGCTCAGACAGAGTTACAGATCATTTTGTTGTGTAGCTTTTCTACTTTGGATATACTTCAAATGCAGGCTTTCATAGAGAAAAATAATGCAAGCTTGAAAATAACAGCCCAGTAGAAAAAGCTCCAAGACAACAAGAACACCACCAAAGCAGGAGGTTGATGAAAAAGCTACTGGAACGTTCGCCCAGCTGTTTCCATTTATTCTTACTGAAACTAATGTCCTTCTGACTCCAACAGTCCTGATGGTGCAAGAACCTGCTAAACATTTCAAAATCAATTGCTTGGCATTTGTCGTAAGGACTTCTCAAGCATCCTCAAGCCCTTAGTCTAGAAAAATCCATAGTTTATTCTAAGAAGGATTTAAGAAAAACTTTGTCTTAGAAAGATTTCTATCAAGAAAGTAATGTTTGGCTTCAGAGTGAAAGATTTCATGGTAGGTTCCCACAGTGATAAAAGTCACACTAATGTTGCCTTTTGAACTTGAAAATACCTCTGTATGCAAATTACCTGTCACATGAACCTCATGTGACCCAAATCTCACAATTTACATTAACCTGAAGTTATTGGTTTTGTCCCAATTCATATCCAAGTCCTCTAGCCCCCTTTGGGGAAATGCTATAGCCCTTTCCCACCCCTACTTCTGGGGACCTCCTAGGGATACCCATGCATTTGATGAAAAGAGATCTTTAGGAATGGAAGGAAAATAGGTCACCCCCACACATCAGAAGCACCTGAGCCTCATTTCTGATCCTGAAAAAAGGGCAGGACAAAAAATAAAAAATGTTTCAATTCCAAAAGCATTACTTAACACCTGGTATATAATGGTCATTGCGCTAGGTGCTATAGATACTGAAATGAATACAATAAGACCCCTGTTCTCAAAGAGCTCATGGTCTAGTAGGGAAAACAGGCATGTAAAAATATATATGTAACAGCATTTGATAATCGAGGCATGATACAGCCTAAAGAGATAATTCTAAGGAAGAAATAACTGTTTTAGCAGGAGCACCATAGGGAAACTTCTCAGAGAAGATGAGCATAGGACTGTGCATTGAAGAATGACTAGGAGTTTATCAAATACTTCCAAGCAAAGGAAATTTACCACAAAGCAGAAAGATGTAAAGCACACTGTATTCCTGGGACTAGAAGGACTTTGGCCTTGGCCTTCTGGAATATTAACTGTAAATCAAGGAGCAGGAGATAATGCTAAAGAAGTTCTCAGAGGCCAGATCATGAAGAACCTTGTCCACCAAGCTAAGAACCTATGAATTTCACCCTGTGGACTTTGGAAGACACTGAAGCATTTACTTAGAACAATGGGCTGATCAGACTTGGAATTTCAGAAGCATTCCTCCTCAATAAGGGTGATAGATTGGTGAGTAAAGATCTGAAGATAGGGACACAAATTAGGAGACTGCCCCAGGAGAAAATGGATATACTGAGCCAAAATTAAGTGTGGTTGATTGCTACATTGTCTTCATTTGAAAAGCATTACAGTGAATAGGGATCGACTGAGACTGTGGAAGTGGGGAATTGGAAGGGGGCCAGAAAGACAAGTGGAATCAAAACAAATTCAGTGATCAATTAAATATGAGGATAAACAAGGAGGAAAGCTCTGGCTTAGAGAAATGGATGACTAAGACTAAAAGTACGGAATGGATTACCCTGGACATTTTAAGAATGAAGTATCTATGGATGCCCAGAGGGCAGTTAGAGATCTGAGTCTGCTCCTCAGGGAAGGCATAAGGCTGGACAGGCATTTGGAAGTCTTAATGTGTAGGAGGCAGGCAGACCCACAGAAGTAGATGTCACTATACAGATTCTGAAAGGCATGCAGATATTCTTGCTGTTGTTTTGTTGGAGACTGTCTGTTCCTGTTTATGCTCATCTCCCAGAGTGATTGTTAAAAGATCCTCCTTTCACTCTCAAAAGTGTCCCCATTTAAACAACAAAATATATGATCACCCTAGATAGATCTGATTATCACCCTCAATCTGATTGATTTTTTTAAATTAGTATTCTAGGTACATTACTCTTTATACACTTACTTCATGTGCAGGTTAAATCATTAACTGATTTATGGTTGTGAGATAATTTTTTAATCTCAGCTTTTCTTAGAGCAAGGTGCACCTGTTTTATCATATGTCTATATTATTAGTTTTCTTCCATAAGCAAAGTCACAGAAAAAAATATAACATTCACATAGGCACTACTATATATTATAGCCAGTAATTTTGCAATTTATTTATTTAGTTAATTAGTTCTTAAAATATTTTATTTTA